TTTTTTTTTTTTTTTTTGTCGATTTGAAGCTGGAAATTATCAGGTGGCGATATGAATTGAAATCTGACTTGACTGAGTGAGACCTCTGTTTTTAGGAAAATTGATGATTATTTAGTTTCTGGTGTATTGAATATTAACCTTTTCAGACAGTTTGCTCAAATTCGTGGACACCGCTTAGATCCTGACCCGGCCGAGTCCCGAAATATGGACCCAGTCCAAGTTCGATGAGACGAGGTGGACGGGTTCACAACGCGGGCCTGCTCGAGAACTTCTATCTGAAGAGGGCCGTTTCCCCCAGGTACTACTCTGGGCTCTACTTAAATTTTGATTTTGGTATGAATATATATACACTGGAATATGAAAGTGATCCCAGTGAACAACATGCATGCTAAGGAAAGATGAAGAGGACTTAGTTATATTTTTTGTTTTGTTTGATATTATGTATTGTTTTGTTGGCACATCTTGATAAATTAAAAATAAATTCCTATTAAGGCACTCAACTAAAAAGAATAAAGGGGGGTGAATGTAGAAGCTGTTGGATGGTTGGGACCGTTTCTGAAAATGAAGTGGCATAACAAATGTTGAAATGGAAAAAGGGCCTGGAGGAAAATGCAGTTTTATTATTGGAAGTTATTTTCCATTGAACGCAAAGAATCTCAGAACTAGTTACTTAGGAATTATATATATATATACACATACCGATTCGATCACTCTGTCTTTAAAGTCTATCTCTAGGCAACAAGAGTGCATTTGAACACCCATTGGACCCAGGTATGGTAAAAGATAGTAGTCATAATCATATAGTTTAGTTATTATCGTGAGAATTATAGGTCTAACAGTATCTCAAAGCCTTTCAGAACTATTATAATGTATTCCAAGCTCCAAGTAGATGGTTTCAGCCAGTAATGGCATGAGATGCAAAAAAGTTCCTCAAAATCAAATTACTGTATAAATCATCTAAGAGACATTTTGAGCTTGTGTGCTGTGGTGTAATTAGTAGATTCTTCACTACAGCAATGACATCTCATTTTAATATGCCTTTAGATACTTGCAACTGTATAAAAGTTTTGATTCATTTGATCAAACCCGAGTAGAAAGCCCATTGTTTATTACAAGTACTACATAATAACTACCTGGTCAAATATATGCCACAGTCTTTATTTCACACTATAAACATAAGAAACCATGCCCTATTACATATCAATACCTAACGTCTTGAAATAATGGACGATGCATATTGTTGACGACTTGTAGTGTCAGCCGCAACTTTGGCTTTAATCCTCTGCAGTGCAGCAGTTGTTTCCATCATGTTAATCCTTTCATCGGGCATAACAGCCAAGCATCTCATTGCCAAACCAAAGATAGACGATACACATTCTTCCCTTGCATGAAAATGCTGATCTTCACTTGCTAGAAAATCAGTGCCCACAATTTTAGCTACTGCATTTTCTCGTAAAGCTTTAAGTACCCACTCCTTCAAGCTCATCTCTTCATTGAAAATAGCATCTGTTGGCTTCTTGCTCGTGAACATTTCCAGCAACAGTATGCCATAGCTATAAACGTCTGCACTTGTTGACACTCTGCCTCCTGATCCATACTCTAATTTTATCACAAGTACAACATTATCGTTGAATTAGTTTGGATTTTTCAATTTAAATAAAAATATTAAGTTGGGAATGATTTTTTAAATTTAGTAAAAGAGTAGTTACAGTAAATCTGAAAAAGAAAAAATATCTAATTGACCAATTATGTAAATTAATATAAAATGAAAAACGTAAAAACAGGAAAAAAGAAATGAAAAGAAAGGTAATAACTAAGGGCGTGATTGGATATGAATTTGACTAGTAAAAAACTAGTTATTTTTTAACTATAGTTAAGTTTGAATAAAATTGGTGTGGTTAGTTGTTAGTGGATATATTAAAATAATATTTATAATAAAATAATTAAAGTTTATTTGATGTAAAAGTAGAAGAAAATGATTAAAAGTGATTGTTAGTTAAAATTATGTGAGTAGATGAATAGTGAATTAAAGTTGATGTGATATATAAGAATGATTGGTTGATATTATTTAATGATATTGATAATGTTGGAGATAGTGGTGTTGAGTTAAAGTTGAGTTAAATTTGAGTTTTGATTGAATTTTTTACTGTAGAATGCATATACAATCGCCCCCTAAGGAATTAAGATATTCAACATTAAGAATGTCACCTGGTGCTGCATAACCAATTGTCCCCAAGGTTTTCGTAAGAACAATATTCTCCCCATCATCAAAGAGCTTGGCTATCCCAAAATCACAAAGGTGGGCAACCATATCCTCATCAAGCAACACATTACTCGGCTTTATATCACAATGAATGACCGGGAATGTATGACCATGATGGAGATATTCCAAGGCTAATGCAACGTCTATTGCAATTTGCAGCCTTGATATCAAATCCAAGCCACAGTTTTCCAAGTGCGACCATTTCTCGAGGCTGCCATTTGGCATGAACCCGAGAATCAAAGCTTTGAATTCTGTGTTGCTACAACAACCAATTATTTGGACCAAGTTTCTGTGTCGAATGCTGCTAAGTATTTCACATTCCGTATCAAAACTGCGGATAGCTCTTTCTAATTGAGAGTTGAAGACTTTCACTGCAACATTTAGGCCATCAGAAAGCACCCCTTTGAAAACCGAACCAAAGCTTCCGTTTCCAAGTAAGTTTGTTTCACTGAAGGCGTTAGTTCCCCTAACAAGTTCTATGTATGAAATTCTTCTCCAAGTAACACCAAGCGAAACATTATCAGTATCAGTAGAAGCAAGCCCTCTTTTTGGTTTTCGTGTCCTCACAAACACAAATAGTATTATGGCTGTTAATACGATAACTTAAATGAATGAAGGCACAATATACTTCATCGGCCGACCAACTTTCTTCAGTCTAGAGTTATTGAGATTATTCCCAATGCATGGAGGCACTTGAAATCTTTGATCTCCACAAAGAGCAGAGTTGTGAAGAAAAGATTGAGCAGTAATGTTAACAAAAGGGCCACCTGTGGGAATCATTCCTTCCAATTTGTTGTAAGACACATTAAAGTATTGAAGGAATTTGAGGCCTTCTAAGGACTCCGGGATCAGCCCCGAAAGATCATTGTTGGATAAATCCAATTCCCTCAAGGCTCTGATATTCCCCAGTGATGGAGGAATGGATCTTTCAAATTTGTTATCCGACAAATTTAGAGACGTTAATGATTCGCAACCATCGATTGATCTTGGAATGTCTTCGGAAAGTTGATTATAGGACAAATCTAGTTGATTTAGTTGTCTCAAAGCTGAAATTTCATATGGAAGTTGACCACTCAAACGGTTTGAGGACAAGTTGAGAAACAAAAGGTCCTTCAAGTTCCAGAAGTTGAGAGGTATGCTGGAATTCAACTTGTTGGAACTTAAGTCGATATTTCTTAGGGATTTAAGCTCACCGAAGCATTCAGGTATGGGACCTGTGAGGTTATTTTTGAGCAGGTACAAGTAACCTATATTACTCATCCCACAAATATCTTGAGGGATAAACCCATGCAGTTGATTGGCATAAAGATATAATACTTGAAGCCGATTTAATTTCCCTAATGTTGGAGGTATAACTCCTGTGATCTGATTTTCTGATAAGTCTAAAAGTTGCAGACCAATCAGGTTTCCGATGGTAGAAGGAATAACTCCGTTAATGTTGCAGCCACGTGCCTTGAAAATTGTAAGAGATTTTGATAAATTCCCAGTGGAATCAGGGAGGATGCCGTCAAGTGGGTTGGACAAAATCTCTAAATGCTCCAAAAACTGGCAAATAGCTAATGAAGAGATAAATCCTAATCCACTCAGAGAATTATCCCAAAGGCGAAGTGTTCGTAAGAGCCTTAAGCTGCCCAAGTTGGGTATGGTGCCACTGAATGAGTTATTTGACAATTCCAATATATCTAAATTAGAAGCATTGGTGATCGAAATCGGAATCTCCCCATTGAGTTCATTGCTCGACAAATGCAATACGTTGAGATTTGGAAGAGAGAGCTCGGGAGTGAGGGGAAGAATTCCATAGAAACGATTATCTGAAAGATCTAAAATCTTCAACGTTGATATGTTGAAGATTGATGGTGGGATTGATCCGGACAATTGATTGTTGCCTACGCTGAGTTTCTCAAGGAATGCCAACTTATTCAGCTCTTTTGGTAAAGGAAGATATGGTGGTCGTTTATATTTTTCGGTTGATGTTCGTTTCAGAATTGAACAGATTGAGTTGTAGTTATTAGATTTGCGTAGCCAATAATGATCCGAAATTTTAGAGTGATCGTATATGCAAATCTTGCTATCGTAGTATGGTTTCTCTTCAGGTGGACATCTTATGGGGATGGTTCATGGTGATGAATGCGGTGTCGAGCTTGTTGGCAGAAAGGAGAGCCTTAATCTATTTAGCAATTTGTTTGTTTCTGTTGTTTTTAGTTTGTTGTTGTGTTGTCGTTTGATTTGTGTTTTGGTGTGTCTGTGTTGTATGGTTAAGTCTGCTCCGACTAATCTTTGGAATTCACAAGATTGACCTTGTCCAATTTCGTCTGGTGCAGATTTTTGTTCCATCTTGCGTGGATTTGTTTTATTTAAGTTGTCCTTTTTTTAAATAAAAGGAGTCACGTATTTTGTTTGGCTGACATGTCCCTGTTCAGCTTTAGCTTATATTTGCTCTCAATTTGTGTTGAATGCTAATGTCAGTTGACATGAGGTACTTTATCTCATCCTCCAGTTTTATAATATTGAGTGAGAGTTAAATTTCTAGTTATGTTAGAGTTAAAATAAATCATATCCTTTGAACTGACGACTCAAAACATAAAGGGAGTGTGCTCAATTGACATTTCTAGAGACTTTTTTAAGATTTTAAAAATCATAGTATTCAATTTATATTTGTTAAAAATTTTAAAAGTCTTGAGATATTCAACTGATTTTAAAAGTCTTGCAAAATCTTTATGTTCTCAACTTACTTGAGACTATGATTTGATATGATTTGGTGGCATTTATAGAAAAAAAAAAAAAAAAAACTTTATACAAAATATCACTTCAAATTCTACCTACACACTTAAAATTTCACATAATTCTTCCAGAATTTGAAAATTTAAAAAATTTCAAGATGTCACTTAACATCAATCACAATTGAATACACCCTAAAGGGTCGGCTGGACTCACGGGCCGAGCCACGCCGCCTAAAGGGTGGGCTGGGTTTAAAAGGGCTGGCCCGTCGTGGGTTTAGACGGGCCGGGCCGTCTTAAAAAAAGTTTTCCGCTTTTCAAACGTGTTTTGCCTTAGTAATATACGTTTATAATTTCCAACACAATTACACACAACAAAACAGAGAAATGAGAATCCGGCAGGCAGAACATACACTCGCACACACACACACACACACACACACAAAAAGAATCAAAATCTTGTCGGCAAAATTCAACGACCTAGCGGCGGCGGCGAGGCGGCGAGCGGGACCGGCGGATGGCGAGGTGGAGCACATCGAGCGGCGAGCGGTGAGGCGGCGGCACGGCGAGAGGCAGTCGGCGAACGGTGAAGTGGCACACGGCACACAGAGTGACTCCGACTTCGAGCGGAGAGGCAGGTAAATTGATGGCTGGATCCTGAACTGAAGTACTAAACCTATTGCCTTTGCTCATGAAATTGTCATGGTTCATGAATTCTGAAATTGATGGTTGAACTGAAATGGTATGTGTCTGTGAACTCTGAAACTGTGATACGCCTATGAACAGAAATTATATATGTATGAGATGCAAGCACCCGTAATACTGTGGCCAATAACCAACATTACGTGGAAAAAGAGAAAAAAAAATACTTAAAAATACTAAAAACACAACCAATAACACAATAACTCACAGAACTGGGCTCCAAAAGTTCACACCGAGGAGAAAAAAACTACGATATATTCAAGTTCCTCAACCCACTTGAACATATATCTTGCGAATTTCGGCCTAATTAGTAGGTTGAGCTACCTTCACAGACTAATTAATACCAATTCCAGCCTTCATAATTTGTTTCAGCCTTCATACTATATTACTATGTGTTTGATTTGCTTTTTTTTATTCTATAGGATTTTTGTTTGAATTAGTTGAATGGTTGTCATTTGTAATGTTTTAAATGATGGTTTACATTTTCTATTTTCGGAAACTAGTGCATTTTTAAAATATTATTTACATGTTTTAAATCGTTATGGTGTTGTCTGTGTATGTGTGTATATATTTGTGTATAGATGTATATATGTTTTTGGATCCGCCATAGCTTCCACCACGCCATCTGCGATGGATATATGACTTTTTTTGGCTTTCCTCCATTGGTCGCCATCCGCTATCAATAACACCGCCCCGCACTTTGAAAATTTTGTAGATATGTAAAAAGTAGTTTTGGTCGTGACTAGCTTTTGAGATGTACAGTGAATCTCAGACCTACTTAGCTTGCTTCTTAGAGTTTGTCCGTATCAACTTAAAATTTTTTGATTTATCGAGGACTACTTTCAATTTGAGTTTTATGAAAGGAATATTGTTTAACTTGTACTTTTGGTCAGAAGCATTCGCTGTAGTGTGTCCAATATTTTACTATTTTTCTATCATATCACAATTAATTAACTCTTCATATCATATCACTTTACATTATTCAAACTATTAATTCTTCCACTAACACTTCTTTTTCCAACCATTTTTTTCTCAAGTGAAAAGGTATCCAGTAGCACCAAGATTTCACATCTGGTGATGCTTCAACAACGTAGGTGAGGACAAGATTTTAGTTTATCGAGATATAAGGATAGCAAGAAGGTGATGGACCTCAAACCATTCAAGCTCGACATTGATGAGCTCATCCAGGAGTTTGCTGAGGTACTAAACACAAGCACAATTGTTCTCATCTTTTTCTTGCTAATATGCACACTTACTAATTTGCTTTTGTCTTAAATGATTCATGCTTAATTCTTTATATATTCTCATCTACAGAGTGAATCAACTACTTTGTCTGACTTCAAAAAGATCTGGCTTTCGAGGAAGTTCTCATTTATATTCGAGGCTAGACCTTCCACAAACCAAGGTTTCTTTATGCAGTCATTGTATGCGCATTCCATCGGTAAGTAGCTTTTTATGTTACTCATAGATATGCAGACCAGGAACGATTGTTTGTGTAGTGAAGGGGTTTCTTTACACTTTAGTTTATGTTGCAAAACAGGGGTAAGTCTGCAGTTAGACATAATATTTTAAAATTATGCTAATCTGCTAGTTTGGTTGTTATTTTCAGTTTGTCATTTGTTTCTTTGAAGGTACACTTACTATTTTCAACTTTTTTCGGGAATCTTATATGTGAAGAATAATGTACAGTAAATCTAACTAAGGCTTGGGGAAAATATCAGAAGTCACAATCTGATCAAGATCCAGATTTGTGATTTGCACGAGTTATTCATACCTTCTGGTTTTCTTTTTGTGTAACGAGGAAGCGGGAAAAACAGTAGAATACTCAGATTTTTGGGTTGAAGTTTATTGTCTTGGCAAATTTAGTTGTATGGTGCAGTAAGGCAGGCATCCTAGAAGTTGTGACTGAAACATTCAGGATTATTCATGATTGATAGGCTGTCATTTTTTATGTGTTAAGATGGTCTAATTTTTCAAATAATTGCTATAATTTTTTGTGGTTGTAGGTCACATGATTTCAGCAGGTTCTCTCTCAACTAGATTGGGTGGGCTCTACTGCTTGTATTGCTTGTACGAAACACAGCCATTCAAGCCACCTTCCAAAATTTATTTGTCTCTTGGTGAGTGTACCACAATTTTGACTGATTTAAGATTGTGTTCGGACTTTAAATTTGTTGCCAAATTTTATCTGTTGTTGAGTCCATTCACATGGCGGTTGCCAATGCTTATGTTTTTTCTTTCCATTTTGTAAGTCATACTCTGGAAAATACTAATTGTTGAACTTTTAGTGGCTTTGGAGTAATTCTGCATTGTGCTTTGCATCTTACATGATACTAAATTACTAATAGTGGTCCTACCTGATATCATAGTAATACCTGTGTGTTGGAATAGTCAATCGCTAATTCTAGTGGTCTTATGAATTGCGTTGGCTTTTGAGGAAACATGATTTTTAAAAAAAAATTAGGATCTGTTAGGATATGACAAATAACTAGCACAACTGACGGTAGCATTTTAAAATTATTTATTTTCTTGATTTCTTGATAAATTTTGGCTGCTTATGGTTTTTGTCTACTTTCGTAATACTTTCCTGAAAATGTATTGGGTGAGGATTGGAAGTTGCAGTATTTTTCTGAGTGCTGCTCTGTACACATTTCGGTTCTTAGATTTGTATGTAGTGATAACTCTTCTGTTTTGGCATAACAATGTTGAACCTAATGATATATGGTTTTAACGATGTGCTGCTGCATACCTTAGTCAAGATGATGTCCTGAACCAAACTAAACTAAAACTATCAAGAGGCGACATTTTTTTGCAATGCTGTGTAGCATGTTAAGTTAGAATATTGAACAAAGAGCAATAGAACCTAGTGCGTTTCAATGTAAAAATTAGAAAGGGTCTGGTGATAGACCCGTTGCGTTTCGTAGAAGTCATCTCTTCACATCATCAATCATTGTGTTCAGTTTTATCGTGTTTTTAATTCATGTTCTCCTTTTCGGCATGCAGTTAATATTGGCTTGCAAGTTGCTTTTGCAAGCCTTTTCAGTAGTGATTGCTTGTCACGTATGTCTCTCTTTTATACTTTCCTGTTATTAGCAATAACTAGCCACAACTTCCTCGTCAAATGGGCTTCTTATCGTGCACATTATGGCTGTTGGGTAATTATTGATCAAATATCTTAGCTCTTAGGGCTTGAGAATCAAGTAAACAGTTGGATATCTAGTCTGAGAATTGTTCCATATAAAATTAAGCAGATCCATTTTCTTATCATTCATGAACTAATGGAGAAACACCAGGGTGTGAAATGTACCATATATGAAAATCTAGCATTTTATTATAAGAATAATTTCTTAGAAGGTTCCAGTGATGAGTTACCTGTCACTTTTGTTACCCTTTTTGTTGTATCATCAACTATGCAACAGAATGAAGTTGTATGATTTTCTTCTTCAATATTACTTATAGTTATAGCCTGTGTAGATCATGGTTTTGGTAGTGGCTGAAATAAGATTAGGGACTTGAGCTGCAACGAGAAGTGACAGGTTTTGAATTAAGCCTTTTTTTTCTCTTACAGGCGAGTTGAGGCACCTCAGGACCCTTGCTCTTGAGGCAAAGACAAGGGGTGTGACAATGGTTTCTACTTTACTGAAGTGTATGTTAGAAAGGAACATGTTTCTTTTCGGGTTTGTAGGTGTAAATGAAGACTCTGCTACAAAAAGAGTGAATGAGCTTACAGATATACAGAATGCTCGTGTCCAAACAGCTTATAGGAAGTGTGAACTTAAATCATTTTTTTCCAGTGTTTTTTTTTGGCTTCCGCATCATTTCTGTCACAAAATGATATCTTTTACTGTGTCTGACAGTGATGTCGTGGCTTAATAGGTTATTTGCTGATTCGCGACTGGGTCACTTCATCCACATGGACCTGGTGAGTTTCATGATATACTCGGTTGGTAATATGAAGTCGAAAGTGAGGTGCTTAGTTGTAACTTGTAACATGCCTGATGGAATAAACAATTAGATTCCAGTATAAGCAATGAGTGATTTGGGAAGCCTTGGCCTTTGTTTTCAGCTGAATCAGCAAGTCTTTTTTGAATTTACTGAAAATTTATCTCGATATATGGTGCAAGACCTAAATAAATGGTCACTAATAACATGCTTTCCAAGTTTAACAATGAATTATTTAATCATCACTGTTACTTGTGTCAATTATGTAAAAACTGCCTAACATGCTGAACAGGTTGATCAAAATTGCTGTTCTTAGCTGTCAACCTTGTCTTTTATCGACAAATGTCAGCATATTAAAGGGTAGTTAAGTCTGAAATGTTCGTGTTTAGTTCATGAAAATGTCCAGAAACCTCGTAGCTATGTTGCTTCATCAGGCATCAACAATGTCTAATCGAAAGCTAAATTAATATTTTTTTTTTCTTTCACAAGGGCACGGAGCTTGATGTTAATTTGCTCAAGGAAAAATCATCAGATTATGCATTGGCCAAGGAAATTGCCATTAAAGGTATAAGTAAAATCCTATTTTCTTACAGTACATGAATTATAAATATCGAAGCCTAGCACTTTCACTCTATTTTCTTATCTTTGCTGTGAATATTTCACTTTCCATAAATAGTCAGATCGGGTTATTCATATTGTTTGTTTGCAATAAGGAACTTATCAAAAATATGAAACTTGTGTTTCTTTGAAACTCATTTCACGCTTTCCACACATTGAATTTTGACATGAATTTCTTTTAAAGAGGCTGGCCAAGTGATAGACGTCGAAAATATAAAGCACATAGTTGAAAATAAGAAAGTGATAGGGGAGGTGGTGGAGAAGGCTGCTACAGATTGGAATTCGGAGAAAGAAATGCTGTATGAAAGAACAGGTCTTTCGGTTGCTTTATCTCAAGACAACGAAGAAGAAGAAGAGAACGAGTATGAAAGGTACAATCAGAATATGCAGAATAGCAATAAAGAAGAAGAAGCTGATACTTTTGGTAAGGAACTAGAAGTTTTATTAACAAAAGAGGGCTGAACATTCTTGGGAACACACATATAATTAGTGGGCATTTTACGGCATTTTGTGTGCGTCATTACTTTGCTCTATTTGTATTATACTAGTAATGTACACGTGCAATTAGTGCTGTTAAACTAAACGAGTTCGGTTCGGCTCGGCTCGAGTTCGTGGCCTCAACGAGCTGAGCTCGAGCTCATTTAAAGCTCGTTTGGCAAGCTCGGCTCGGCTCGATAAGGTTCGTTAAGGCTCGAAAATAAAAATTTTATATAATTTTTTATAGTTTGGATCGTTGAAGCTTGAGATCGGCTCGTTAAGGCTCGGGGCCTTTAATGAGCCGAGCTCGAACTCGATTTCAGGTTCGTTTTTTATACCTGGTGGTGCTAAGTAATGTGATGAGGATAAAAGTTTAATTTCATTAATAATTTATATTACACGCAGAATCAGAGGAGATGTAGTTACCTCCATACAATTAAATTGTTTGCAACTTATATCTAATAGATAAAACAATGCCGGCAACTTGTATTATGCTTGTTTTTTGGACTTTTGCAGCTTATAGTAATATGCAACATGAACTTCATGAGCATTCATAATATACAAACTCGCCTATTTCTTGATTATACAAGTGTCCATTTTAACCAAATTTTGGTTGAATTTTACCATGAAAAATACTGTATGTTGCTGCAAAGTCCAAAGAACACGTATAGTACAAATTGGAAAAAATGTTCATAACTAATATTTGGAGGGATAACAATTGCCAATGTCCTTAGGGATTTCTACCTGTGAACGTGTTGTTGTTCAGACGCATTATCTCGAGTTGAGTTAACTCCCCAAACCAGGTTGGTATTTGTCCGGCAAACGAGTTGAATCCCATATCCATAGACCTCAGGCGGCGCAGACGAGACAGCTCACGAGGTATGGGCCCCGTGAAATTATTATAACTGATGTCTAAGTATCTTAAAAACGTCAAGTTCCCAAGATGTGGGGACAGAGTTCCTCTGAGGCCAAAACCTGAAATGTTAAGGCCCGTGACTCTATTATTGTGTTTGGTGCCGCACGAAACACCAATCCATTGACAAACAGAGGAGGAAGAGGTATCGATCGACCAGTTTGTGGCCAAGAGACGGTAAGGGTCGGAGGTGATGGAAGTTTTGAACTGGACAAGTGCGTTTTTGTCGGTTGTGGCGGCTAAGGACGTTTTACTGTTAATGCTGCTGCTGAGTATTATAATTAGCAGAATAGAGAAGATGAACAAAGTATAATTATTCTCCATTTTGTGTTTTTTTTTTGGGGGCTGGTGATTGAGTTGATTCATATTATAACAAGCATATATATTGCCACAAAGAGGAAATTTACATGACAACATGCGGGCCTCATTTAGATAATGTCATAATTGAGTTTGCCTTATTTTCTTGGTGATAAGAGACTGATTTACGTGGACTTGGGGAAAACTGAAAACGAGTATTTTGCATTACAAAATAGAAAATAACGATATAATAATTATTAAGTGGAGGGGGTCCAGTATCATAAGCATTGAGCCAAATTTTAATCAAATGCATTACAAGACCTTGACTCTCAAGTCAATGCTTATTGTCATCACTCTGTATAAAGTAAAAGTAGGGTCCTTGCTTGCAGAGAAGACTGTTTAATTCATCTAAATTCACTGTTTTTTTTTAAATAATTTTTGTGTGTACTTTCTCGCACAAAAATGCGAGAAAACTGGTTCAGTTCTATTGTGTGCATGACTTTTCAAAGGTGTGGATCACAACTTCTCACACGAATGAGTTTGGAGTTATATAGGAAATGACACACAAGAAGACTACTTGGATTCTGGACTTATAAATTTCTGTAATGTCTTAGGTTTAGTTGCTAAAATTATCTTGAGATTTATATTGGCTATATTTTGAAATTAAAACCTCAATATGTTATACTTATTAAGAAAATGTAAAACATAAGTTGGATTTTGTTATACCTTAAGGTGGGTGCTTGTGAGGTTGAAGATAATTGGCTACTTTTTCTGAAAGGTCTTTTATTTTTTTTTTGGGATCTAAATGTTCTAAGTGCTAAGTGTTGTTACTTTTTCTTTACTGGTGTGTGCAGGAGGGAATGAGCAAGGGAAACCGTGGAAGGCATGACAATGCTTGCTTACTGAGACTACTTAATGGTCAATGTTGGCTTACCGTTTTACTCAAAACGTAAATGTGATTAAGCTATAGCCTATAGTGTCTAGATTGTTTTCGCAAGTCGTTTGCAGTTGGACTGCAATATTATCTTTCAGTGTGTGGGAAATAAGCATTGGATATGTTAATCAGATGCTTATGTTAATCGGATGCTTTTGCTGTGTTTATTTGAAGCTGGGGATGCTTTGTGGGATTGAGAATTTGAAACTACTTTGTTATTGCTTTGGATATTTCTGAATTAATGTGGTGTGATCTTGTTTTGTTGGGTGGTTTTGAGTTGGAATTTGCTATATTTCTTAAACAATGGCTACACGATTGAGTTTGGAGTTATAAACAGTAAATGACATGCAAGGAGACTGACTTTGTCCAATTGAGTTTGGAGGTATATACAGTAAATGACACACAAGGAGATTACTTTGTCCAAAACCTTCTTTTTTCACGTGGTTAGAAAATTCAAGTAAAGGCGGTCCGGGTGTCGTAGACCTTTTAACGTCGAGCGAAAAAATGATCGAATCTATATATATATATTTTGGATCAATAAAACATTAAATTATGTTGTCCGTATCATTTAACTACATTACTTTCAGTTTCCGTCTAAAGCAATTATAAATATTATAATATTATTATTCTTTTTTTTCTTACATCACCTTAATTAGTCTAATGGTAATATTAATTGAAGGAATGTTGCAACTAAAATCATGCATTTATATCTATAACTGATTTTTTTTTTTTCATTTTCCTCCAATAATTTTAGACTTATTAGGTGCAGTAATTTTCTACCTCAAATCGTACACCTTAATTGAATTATTAGGCAGAAATCGTGTAAACACTGATATATACTCAGTTTAGATGCAAAGAATTATACAAGAAATTAAATTACAACATTAAATTTAAAAAAACATCAATATCCAGTTAAATTTTGTCATGATTTTTGTAATATAATAAAAAAAATAAATAATTAATTAAATATATGTTTAACAAACAATAAATAACAAATCGTCTTCTGATCATAATAACTTAAAACATGGTTTTACAAAATAAAAAATCATAAATTCTTGAAAACGATTAGATCGATACTATAATCGCCCTACTGAACCATTTTCTTATGATTTATTGAAGCATTTTAGCAAAATAGAGACGACAACCTAAAATCAAAACAAAAAGTTACAAATCTTGATAGATTTGTTATTTAATCGGCCGATTTGCACGTTTTACTATAATTTAGTAAAAAAAAATTGTAAAATCAGAATAAGTTTGATATTATATCTCAGCTTTGTTTGAAATTTATCATTTTCGAAAGAATCTAGAATTTGGTTGGAATATATCGTCGGAAAAATGAAGAAAAAATCATGATTATCGGCAAAAGTTTATAAGAAAAATGAGATACTGATATTTTTTACAGAGAGAAAAAATGCGTGATCCGCCGATAACAAATGAGAAATGAGCTTGAATCATAAAGTGTTTGGATTATTTAAGTCGAGGGTTTTGTAACCCTTTTCTGGGTAGCCGGTCTCACCGATTACCTGATTTTTTTTATTTGTTCACAAAAAAAAAAATTATATTGATTTCAATTTGATTTTTTTTTTTTGCTTTACCAAATCGAGTTTGTTAAACAAATAGCCTTACAGAGAATATCGATCAAAGTCACCCTTAGAAAATATTTAATAAAAAATTGAGTCCAATTCACAACATTTTTTTATTTATTTTATTAATCAGTCCAATTCAACAACGAGTTATGATGCAATTATTTGTTCAGCATATAATTTCGACCAAATGTTTAATAATGCAAGTGTTTAATAGTATTTAGAATCATTTTTTTAATTCATATTTTTTTCATGAATTAAATTATGATTATGTATTTTTGTTTATTCTTTCTATATTGTTATTTTTTCTAAATATTATTTTTCATGCAAATGCACGGGTTGATTACTAGTGCATTTCAATTTACAAGACCCAGACTTTGAAGTCGATGGTTATAGCCATTAAGCATATATGATGCAGGATAATATCTATTATTTTTTGTATTAGAATATTTGGTTGTTTATTAAGTATCTTTATTATTAGTAGTATTTTATATTTATTTGTTATTTATGTTTAGTCTTGGTGAACAAGTTACTGTTAGGGTTTATTAGAATATCTTCCTCTCTTTTGTTATCTTCACTTATTATGAATTATTGAACGAAAAAAGACGATTTGATATCATGTGTAAATGTTCTTGAGATTGCGATCTCATTAATATCGTCCCTACATCAGTTGGTATTAGAAGTCAGCACGATTCAAGATGCCACCGCGGAAGAATAGCATCGACGGGCGTGACGCCACCATTGAGCATCCGAATCGATAAGTCACGAACTTCGGCCGTCAGATTTAATCCTCATTACTTCGATTTTGCCCGTTTTTGCTTATGATGTGTTTCAAGGTGATATCGGTTTTCTTGTTGAATGGAGGAATGTTAGATTTTTGTTGCTTGTCAATGTGTGTTAGGGATTAGTTTATGCTTATCTTGTGTAAAGGGTGCGACTTGATTCAAAGCGTAGTCATTAGTTAGGCAGCTCGACTTAATCACCTAGGATCACATGACTACTTTGATGTTTCTCGGTTCTTTGAGGTTGCCTTCGCTTACGGATATCATGCCCGACATGAATGCGATTGGGAATTTGATTGCGAATATGGTTGATGGGAGGTCCCGTTTCGCGTTGACATCCCCGAATTCAACGGAGAGGAAGTTGAAGGTCCATTGTAAGATGATCCGCCTGTGTTTGATGAAGCACCCGGGGAGGTGGAGGAGCGTCTTACCGGCGAAGTTGACGCTCTCTACGACGGTTCGTCGATTTTTAATGA